TTTCCAGCCATTTTTTTTTTGCCTCCTCAGTTTCTCTGTCATTTATTAGAGAAGAGGTGACAATAGTTGTTTAAATAAAAGGAAAATATGAGGAGGTTTATTTTCCTTTACTAATCCATTTTCTTTCTTCCAGGATACCACACAGTAAGCTTAAAAGGGTCAGTTTGTGTGGCCATTTCTTGAGTAGGAGAACTAATTTAACGCTTCCTTTTGAGGGATGGGGTGGTATATTCACAACTCCCAAATCGTTGATGAACAAAGAACCGGGATGTGTGTTTGACGGTTCCCCTGGATACTTTAAATAGATTACAATTTCTCCATCAGCAATTTCTTGATATAGTTCTTGAGTCAACATACCATACATCCAAGGTAATAGCATACAATTATTTGGAGCTGTCTTGGCTACATGGAGAGCTTGTTGAGTTGTTAGGAGAATACTATCCATACTTCCCCAAGACATTGATGTTTCTCCTTGGAAACATTTCAAGTCCTTCAAGCGACGAAATTCTGGCTCGAGGAAGAAGACACTTAATAAGTCCATTGTGCAAGGGCTATCTGAAGGCAATAATTTCATCAGGTCGCTGGCATTCCAGAAAAGCGATCCCCCTTCCACATAGACTCGAACGCTGAGAAATTGATTATACTTGAATATGTAAAACATGACGGACAGTTGTTCAGAGTGACAGTGCGATAGATATAATGAATCGTGCAGAGGTCTCTCTTTTATATACATCCAGAGATATGACGCAACGAATCACGTGACGACTCTATTCTGAGCGTGAATTTCCTGTTAGGAAAATAAAAAAAAAATTTTTTAATAATAGAATAATTATTTATTTTTAAACATACAAATACAGTTTTTAACATTTCATTTTTTTAAGACCAATAATCATTTACATCTTCTTGCCGATTACATATTTCAGTGGATTCATTACAAGTCCAAGTTTCGTTATCCTTGTTTTTTGAAAGAAAAGCCCATCGGTTGGACTGTTCATCCATTATATATTCCTTAATGTAACGATAATAGGCAATTGCACTTTGAAAAGCACAATATTTATTAGAGCCTAAATGTTTGAGACAAGGGGAAGGTGGTAAACATAATGTTAACCAGTCTTCTTCTTGATCTTGATCCGTCCATGGGTCTTCCATTTCAATGTCACGTTTAATTATTTTCTCTAACAATTTTGCTTTCCAGGGTAAAGGACAGTAAATTTTATTATACCCAGCTGTTAGAGAAACGAGAAAGGATTCTAAATGTGTATAAGGAAGTTGACCTTCATTCCAAGTAAATCCGTGCGTTGTTTCTGCTAGATGCAGCTGATTGAAAACGAAACTACGTCTCATGGAAGGTGATAAGTTTATCCAGGGTTTGGGTGGTTTGACATAGATAACACCTCGAGCATGATCACTAGATACGTATGCCAATTCTTTAATAATATAATCTCCCACTGTATCCTCGTCATAATTATGTTTCTGTTGAATTAAATCAAAACCTTGAAAATTGAGGACGATAAAAGATTCCATGTTAAAAATTGGTAATATGAGGAGTTAACAATACTTACACTTATTTTTCTCCATTCCGAAGTGAAAAGTGTAGACATCAAATTAATAAAGGACAAAAGGTAGAGTTTTTTTTTTTTTTTTTTTTTTTTTTTTTTTTGAGTGAGTTTTGGAAATGTGAGAGTTGAAAAAATTTTTCATGAAAAACTTAAAACAATCCTCTCAATTTATACAACTCTTTTCTTCTTCCACTGATGACATTTTAATAAATTGTTGTTTCTGGGTTCCACAGTTTACGCATTTACCAGTGGCCATAGGACGTTGGTTTTTAGACATACGATGCTTAACTTCACACGTGTTTGTCTTTTCACGACACTTGACGCACCAGATACTATATTCCATGATCGTTTCTATATACGCTCTTGATTCTTCATTATGGCCAAGTTTTTGGATAAAATTCATCACCGCTGACCTTTTTGGCATAGTTTAGGAAAGTACATAAAATTTCTCTTCTTTCATCTCCATCTTTAGGATAGTATTCATTTCCAACTTCATCTCGTGCATATCGATAATAATTACTGTTCCACTCCCCGTTTTCCCTATCCATTAAACAATATTCTTCTCCAACCGAATTTTTTGGATAAATTTCTTCTCCCATACTATCAAGAGCATAAACATGTAACGATGTATCTAATGAATACAGTGGGTATTCTGTCCCATTATTAAATTTAGGATAAATTTCTCGTCCCGATATTAATTGAGCGTACCTTCTTGGATCTGGAACGTATTCGTGCCCACGATATTCGCGAGCATAATATTGATTTCCATTTTGTTCTCTAGCAAAAATAGGTTTTCCTTCATTGTCTACAAGATATAATTCATGGTTTGGCCTGTTTGGATCAATGGGATATCGTTCTTTCCCAGATTCATCTATCCTATAAACGGAACTCATATTTTTTCTTGATCATATTAATTTGTTCTTCTTTCTAAAACAAATTACCATTTCAAAAATTTACCACTAAAGAAAATATAAATTAAAGTGTTCCTTATAACATTTGCAGAATAAAATATAATAATCTATGATGGGAAAAATATCTTTTATTTCTCAAAAGAGCAAAAAAAATGACAAAAAGTAATATATTTTATCCAGTTATCATAATATTAATAATATTTGCTTTTGTAACATTCGTATGTACAATACTTTTCTTGCTTGCAGCGTTCAGTCTTACCCTCACAATGTACCAGCCTGCTTTTTACAATAATTATGAAGATGTGTTGATAAAATTCATTCAGTCATTTAAGGAATATTTTCGAAACACAGTAATAATAAAAGAGTTACTTAAAAAATAAATATTTTAGTCCAACCAATACGCTCATCATACTGACTAAACATACCCAGAAACATGCGTTCTCAAATGAAGTCACACAGGCCTTTATCTGAGGAGTCATAATATATCCAACATTATCCTGGCAATTTAATTTTGGAGATATGAAACTTGTCCAATCACGAATACCCAATCGATCTTGCAAAAATTTGATAGTTGCTTCTTCAAGTTCATCAAACCACTGAGGTTCAAGTTGCACCATCTCTGAAATGGATACAACAAAAGCTGCAACCGTTTTCCAATCCCAGCACCAATAATCCGGATGATTGATTTCAAATATTTCAATACCGAGCTTTTCTATAAATTTACCAGGTGATTCAGCTTTCCGGCACTCTACAATGAGTTGATACACATCCAGGCGGGAATCTGATCGCAACACACTCTCGACCAGTTTAAGAAAAACGTTTAAATAATCGTCGGTAAGAATATCAGAAGATCTATGAGCACTAAAGCTAAAAAGGTGATGAATAACATGCCGAGTTTCAATAATTTTGCTTCGACTCATTTTCTTTTCAAAGACGGCTACTACTGGTAACAGACACGTACAAATAGTTGAAAATGTCTTGTGTTAAAGAAAAGGGTGTATAAGGAAATATTTATACTGTAGAATAATGAGATAAGGGTGAGAAGAACACTCGAAAGAAAATTTTCTTTCAACTCATAACTACTAAAAAAAAAAAAAAAAAAAAAAAAAAAAAAAAAAAAACTCTTCCTTTTTTCTTTATTAATTTGATGTCTACACTTTTTGACCTTGGGTTCCTAAAAGTGTAGACATCAAATTAATAAAGAAAAAAGGAAGAGTTTTTTTTTTTTTTTTTTTTTTTTTTTTTTTTTTTTTTTTTTTAGTTATGAGTTGAAATTATTTTTTATCTTACTGAGAGAGATTCAGGATGAAGAGTAAAAGGAATTGATAAGAGTATTTTTTTATGGTTATATATTTATATTGCCTTGTACTATAGTTAGTGTTCTTTGTGCTGCTAAAGAAGCAACATCTCGTAACTATTTTCTTCTCTCTTTTTGCAGCCAGTATCATTATTTACTATGCCTAAGCAAAAATCTCACTTTAAAGATGATGATAATTTCACAACGCTTGAAAAGCAACAGCAGGCCAACTTGAAAAAACGTAAACGCTGTGAAGCTAAAAGAAGATGGCGGTCATTTCCTGAAAATCGAAAACGAGAGCTTGAACGTCTACAGGAACGTCGACGACAAAAAAAATCATCAAAATCTGCAACTAAAACTTCCAATATAGAGAAGAATCCAATTTGCTGTGAGCCTTTAGACTTGTCTTTAAAATTTGAAAAGTATTTGAATGCGTACCAGGACGAACCATTCATTGAAGATGATGTTTCTGAATTCCAAATAATGGAGAAATATCCCGAAGAAAAATATCAATCCCTCGTTCGTCAGTGTAACTCTGGACAATTTGATTTCCTAATGCACATGCTATATTACTTTCGTCGCTGTGATGATAATTGTGAACCTCTAGATATATTTGTACAAGGAGCTGCAGGCACTGGCAAATCTGTTTTGATCCAAGTTTTATACCAGACTCTCATCCGACTACCTTCTTTTTCTAAAGAAAACTCTGTCATTAAATTAGCCCCCTACTGGTAAAGGAGCATTACACATTACAGGAGATACTCTTCATCATGCACTCGGGTTACAACTGAATGAATCAAAATGTATAAGACGGATGAGAGAAGAAACTCGAAAGAAATACGCTGAAATGTATGCTCATTTACGTGTGATAATTATTGATGAAATTTCAATGTTGGGGCTGAAATTACTTTCTCGACTGGATCGGCGTTTACGAGAAATTCGAGGAGTTAAAAATAAACGCTACGGGAATTTACATGTCATCAAATTTGGGGATTTACGTCAATTACCGCCCGTTAAGGATGCTTACATGTTTTCTTCTGATTTGTGGTGGTGTAGCAATACACAGTTTTATGAACTCGATGAAATAATGAGACAGAAAAATGAGAAAGAATATTTGGAGTTACTGGATGATTTGGCAAATGGACCCTTACAACCGGAACATGTTCAATTTTTAGCATCCAGGGAAAGACCATTTGAATGCTTACCTCGCGAATCTGTTATTTTATGCTATTCTAACAAGGAAGTAGACGATTATAATGCTAAACGTCTTTCCATGTTACCATCCCAGATGATTCAATGCAACGCATATGATACCGTGCTCTCTGATAAGCCAAAAATAATTACTAGCCGGCTAAATAAACTATTGCGATTGAAACGACATGAGACGGCTAATCTTGAATGGACTCTTGACCTTAAACCGGGAGCCAGATACATGTTGACCTGTACAATTGATATGAGTGATGGATTAATAAATGGAATTGTTGGAATTTTACAATACATTGAAATGGAACCAGAGGATCAGAGTGTAAGACGAGTATGGATTCAATTTACTACAGATACAGTTGGATTTAAACTTAGAAATAAATTTCGGCAGTACACGGAAAAAAGAATATTCCTTTCGAATGGACACCCATTGACCGCATTTCGAAACATATTGATAAAGCCTCGACTCGCAAAGTGTCGGTTTTTCGTAGCCAACTACCAATTATAGTGGCCGAAGCTATGACTATTCATAAATCTCAAGGAGCAACTTTGAAAACAGTTGCGGTTAGTTTAAAAACTTCCATGAGCAGATTTCATCAATATGTTGCATTTTCACGGGTAACCAAACCCACTGATTTGTATATTTTGGATCAGTACAAGCCACCAGCATTACCAAAACCGAACGATTGTATCTTGAAGGAATTGAATCGACTTCGAGCCTCAGACAATATTATAGTACCGCGATTTGAATTTTTACATAATGCTTACAAACCTTTAAATTTATTACAAATAATGTACTTGCACAATGGAGAAGGAGATGTTTCGAGTGATCCGTGTTTTATGAAAAGTGATGTTTTACTTTTTACTCGAAAGGCATTTGAATCAATACCTGGATTCATGTCACTGGCAAACGGTCATGTATATTTACGCTGTGAAAAAAACAATCAGCAGTGTTACAGCAAGTACGAAATTAATGGTTGCGTAGAGACAATTAGTATGTATATTCCAAAAATGAATGTTTTGTTTATACTCATTGATGTAAGACCAGCAGCAACAGATACAGATATGATCGAAGCATTCAATATGGTCATGTTACAAAACAATATACAGAGTAACAGAACCATTTTGGTCGGACATTTTAAAACCATGGAATATTTGAGAAGCTTTTTATCATATGCTACACACCATCATCTTTGCATGCAAACGAATGCTGTAGAATTTACAAATACAGGTGGTTTGACTACCGAGGCTATTTTTACAAACTGTCCGGAGCATACAGAATGTGCGGGTGTTTATGAAAGTACAAATAATTATTATTTACCATTGTATATTCGTTTTTTCATATAGGGTCTTGTTGAATAATGGAAAGGGGGGTGTACAATGGATATGTTCTTTCAACTCTCAACTAACTAAAAATAGATTGTGATTCCAAAGTAAAAAATGTGTAGACATTAAATTAATAAATAAACAAAAAGAAAGAGGTCAGGAGAGCTTATGTATTATTGAAAACTGGTGAACTATCATAATTTATAGAATTTATATTCCAATTCCAGGAAAAAAGGTTAGACGTCAGATTATAGAACAGTAATGAATAAACATAAACCCGTGTCGAAACGCTGTTGAACTCATTATTTCAGAAAAACGTGCGAGGATCGGGAAGAAAGTATGTCACGGTCACGATCTCTAAATAGATTGCTTCATGTGACTTGGCACTATTCCAAAACGAGAGGTATAAAAGGGATTCGTGGTTTTCGGTTTTATTAGAGCTGGTGATCTCTAAATAGATTGCTTCATGTGACTTGGCCCTATTCCAAAACGAGAGGTATAAAAGGGATTCGTCGTTTTCGGTTTTATTAGAGCTGGTGATCTTTTCTCCCGAGCAGAGTCATGCGCTACCACCTTGCATTTTATGACGGTACCAGATTTGAGGTATACATCTCCAACTTCAGAATTTATTTCAGTGCTCTATCTCTTGCCGAGCTGATACAGATAAAGGAACATGGCAAATGGCTTTACACTGAAATGCTGGACCTCCTCAAACCCGAGTATCCTAAATTGCTTCAGTGGAAGGATCTTTCTACAGACGAAAACGTCTATTCGAACAGTATATGGTTCGATTTGCCACAAGCCTTATACACAACGGAGAAATTAAGCGCGAATGCTTATGATGTCATCCTCCATTGCTTGAATTATCCGCTTGAAGATGTCGGCAAACATATAGACGGACTAACTGTGCTCAAGATGAGCTTTGAGCGACCCGAGTCTCTAAGTTCGTGTGTCTTTATCAGAGATATAGCAGAACTTCGTATGTATTTCTACTTCAGAGATTCGGGATGGTGATCGGAAAAAAATTGTATCCTCCTTCAAATTTTTTAAAAAGCTGAATGGATCCTCTTATAAGGATTATTATTATTATTATTATTATTATTATTATCATCTTTTATCATCTTTTATCCTGCTTTTATATGAAAATAAAAATATTTTAAATAATATATATGTGTATTTAGTTTTTTTTTCCAAAACATATCATGAACATATTTAATAATTTATTTATTCCATGGTATACCTTTTCTTCTATTATACTCTAGTATAAGTTTTAGATTTATCATTTAAAAACTCGACTTGTACAAAAAAGTCCATTAAATAATTACAGTTTTTAATATACAAGTTTCGCTACCGTATTTAAAACTTATTTTTGAGTATTTGCACTTTTTCCTATTCTCATTAAAACTTGCAATTAGGTTAAAAGGATATGTTCAATGTAAAAGTACCAGATTAAATGAAAAACACAAAAAATATTTTAGTGATTTTTTAGTACTATAGGGAAAAAACGTTACAGAAAATGATTCAGTGTTTAAGTCTATCAACACGATAGGTAACTAAACTTTGAAAAATATTCACAGCTTTAGATCGGTGACAATCTTTTTCACGGCAATAATAACAAAAATTGTTTCTAGTATTATTCATCACAATTCGTATATAAGGTATAACAATACATTTTTCAATTCTCTCTCGCGTTTTTACATCTGACGTGTACAGTCTCTTAATCCTCAATTTCTGTATATCATGATTCAATGTATTTATCCATTTCCCTTTCCGTCTAAAGTCTCTGGATATAAATACCACTCCATTAGTTAAAGTATATCCTTTAGAAGACATAGCTAATGCCCCTACGATTCTAGGATGATGATGAATATGCAAAGATCTTGAATGGAACGTTTTAAAAGTTTCAGGGTAAGAATTTGTATTCAAGTTTTTTAGTCGATATGTAAGGTTATCAAATCTTCTTTTGCTGGTATTAGTATCTTCTTCTCCACTTCGTTTTCTACCACGATTAGGAAATGAAGCAGGCTGTTGGGATGTACAAGGTTCCTCCTGGGAGTTTGTTGGAAATTGCTCCTGTGATGTTTCCGAATGAACAGGTGAATATGGATCCCAACTGTCCAAATGATGAGGTGACGGTGAATTCCATTCATTTGCATGAACAGGTGAGGGTGAACTCCATTCATTTGCATGAACAGTTGAGGGTGAACTCCATTCATTTGCATGAACAGTTGAGGGTGAACTCCATTCATTTGCATGAACAGTTGAGGGTGAACTCCATTCATTTGCATGAACAGTTGAGGGTGAACTCCATTCATTTGCATAAACAATCGAGGGTGAGTCTTCTACACGAACAGTTGAGGGCAGTGACCAACTTAGTTTAGGAAGAGTTGAGGATGGTGTTCCAATTTCATTATGAAGAGGTGAGGATGGTGTCCCACTTTCATTATGAAGAGGTGAGGATAGTGTCCCACTTTCATTATGAAGAGGTGAGGATGGTGTCCCACTTTCATTATGAAGAGGTGAAGACGGAGTTAGTTGCAGTTCATTCCTTCTTTCGGACGAACCCATTTGTACAGGAGACTCCATGACTTTCATTCGCACCGTTTCCTAATAAAAAGTAAAGTAGTTTTTTTTTTTTTTTTTTAGGAAATTTTTATGGTAACTCGAGAGAGATAAAAAGCCGCCACTAACTAGTTTCTACGCAGGAGAAAATTATTCTGACTACGTTTGCAATTTACCTCGGACAGTATGGCGATTAACTGGGATACAATGACATGGAATATCGCATACGAAGATATGGTGCATAAGGTAGACGATCCATATCAGTGGTTCTTCATACTTTCGTCAGATATGGATCAGATTCAAGCATGTTTGAGGGAAGCTTTATTGGCATGGACTTCAGCATTTCACTTACAAAATCTCAACAGTCCTCTATGGTCTGAAGGAAGCATAGAAACTTTTGGATTTCGTTTCCGTAATATATTTTATATTCTAGGAACCCCTTTTAAATTAATAGTGAAAAAGGTTCCAAAAGATCATTGTCATATTATTCAAACATACGAGGATCCTATACTTTTCACAACTGTCGTTGTAGATTCTCAAGATGAATACAAGACCCGGAGTTATCAAATTAAGCCTTTATCCATTCACACAATTCCTTCGGACACTATGTATATGATATCAGTCATTATGCCGGATACAATGTTTGCTGTGGATGAAATGACAAACCTTCAATGCCGCATGCTGGAAAAATTTTATCGCTGTGATTTTAATGAGCGAATGGATTCCATATTTCAACCTGAAGCCTCACTAACCGATAAGAAGAAATGGTTCATATTTAAAGGGTCTGTACATGAAACTTATAATCCACTAACTTGGGTTCAATTACCTTTCATAAATATCGATTATATGGAAGATTACAAGCTAAATGTTTCTATAGTGTGGAATATGCAATATCGATTGAAAGATGCGAATGGAGAAGAAATCAGAGATTTTTTGAATGACAATGGATTCTATAAACCATATCTCGCTTACTGGAAAGAAGCTTACCTTAGCGAATTTGGAGTTAAAATGCATAACATGTTTTTCATTAAGGATGTTCCGTTTGCCATACAACCTCAATATGTCTCCAATCAAGAATGTCATATTATTCAAACGCACAATGAACCTATTTTTTATGCAACAGTTGAAGTAAATGAAAACAAATTTCAGTGTAAAAAATATCTATTACGAAGCAAGTCTGTTTACAACGTTTTACCAGGTACACGCTATATTCTTTCGGTACAGAAGAAAGATACTTTATTTGCGGTTGATGTAATGCATATAAGTTTTGCATTCGGGGCATTACCTAATCTATTCAATATAAAATATCAAAATTTGAAAGAACTGGAAGTTTGTACTGTAAAATCTAAGGATGTAGCTCCAGGAAAAGTTTCAGTTAAAAAATAAAAAGAAATCGTCGGCTATTGGAACTTAGAGCATTGCGAATAGTTCTTGGGCAATTACCAGACCGCCTTCTCTTATTAGACTGTATATCCACTACCTTTCGATACTTTGGACATGTGTAATACCTTTCATGCCATTTGAATTAACCCCGCAACTCTAAGATCATTCAGAAGTGCCAAGTACTCTTCTTCGACAGGTGAACCTACCCCCCCCCCAATTGAGCATTCAAAAGACCTAACATTTCTTCAAGGAATCCTCTGGAACATTAAGAGCATGTCGTGTTAATAGAAGAAACAGTCATCTCTCTGGAGTAGCCGTGGCCAAAAAATATCTAAAACATTCTTGACACAAGATGTATAAATATGTAAAATAAAAATTATTATTTAAACCACTTTAATTCTCTGTCTTTTTGTTTTAAAATATCATCATTTTTCTAGATCAATCCATCTTAAATTTAAAATGTACATTATCAAAATGTGAAAGTCACAGAAATTTGGTCATTCAAAAACTAATAATCTGCAGAGGTAGATGGAAACTCTTCTATGGTAATTAAGAAATATCTGGTTTAAAAAATATATAAATCTTACCTATTTATAGAAATCTTCCTGGAACTTGAAAAAAGTGCCGAAAAACTCACAGAATAGCAGGTAGAACTTTATCGCTGCGTGAGAAAAAGAATAAAATATTATAACCAACTGCAAAACTCATAACTTTTCCCATTTTACAGTTATAATAGTATAAATAAGACAGTCTGTCAAAAAAGTATTTGAACACCGGTACCCATCTTGAAAACGCAAAAATCACTAAAAGCTGTTTAACTTACCAAGTGAGTGTAATTTGCTTCTTATTCGTTAATGTTTCAATATTTGAAAAACTTTTTAAAAGTTAAACAAAAAGACAAAATAACAACACAAAATTTCCGTAAAAAAACAGTTTTATTGAGTTCCAATAAATAAGAAGATATACATACATTTTTTTTCATTAAATATGATTCTCAATGACGAAAGTCTAAAATCAATGAATTATATTAAATATATAACACAATGCTAAACTAAAGATGAGGAAAATGACATAAATTCTTCCCACATTTTTTCTTCTTCAGGATTTGTTTCCGTAAAAGAAGGTACTTGTACAACGGTCTGTGATAACTGTGATGACGAGTTATAAGAATTAATGTCCATCATCAAAAAGTCCCAGTCATCAGACAATGAATTTGTTTGAACATCACTTGTTGTATTGTCGTGTACCTCTCCATGTAATAAGGCCTTCTGGGTTTCTGTAATTAATGAAGGTTGCGAAAAAGAAGCTCCTTGTACAACGGTATACTCTAATTGAGATGACGAGTTGTACGATTTAATGTCCATATTATAATCGCTTAGAGAACCCGTCAAAAAGTTCCAATCTTCCACGGGTTTCATTGAAATTAATGCAGAGTCCCCCGATGTAACAGTTTGAGACTGAACGTCATTATAACTAGTTGTGGAATTGTCGCTTACCCCTGCTTGTAATGAGGTGCATTGGGTTTGTTTTAAACATAAAGTCTGCTGAAAAGAAGATTCTTGTACCTGTACTAGTTGTGGTGATGAGTAGTTGAACGCTTCAACGTTTGTATTACTATAATCATTTAAAGAACTCATAATAAAGTTCCAGTCATTAGTCGTTTCGGTTGAAACTAATGCACAGTCACTTGGTGTAATATTTTCAGTCTGAACACTACTAAAACTTGTGGTAGGATTAATACTTACCTCTACTTGCAATGAGGTATCTTGGTTTTGGATTTCAGAGTCCGTATAATTAGACGGGGTACCTTTTTCCCATGTTTGTTCGTCTAAATTAAGTATTATGGTACTGTTAATGGGTGCTATAAAATTTTCCGGTACCAAAATAGTAGTTGATGTTTCAGTACAGGCTGGTTTCTTGACAACAGCAGGAGGGGGTGGAAGTGGCTGTTTAAATACTTCTACCATCTTTTCTCCTTCTTCCGCCCTCTTGTTGCTCCCCGTTTCCCATCTGATAAATACTGGTAAAATTCGGATTCTGCCTTATCAAATAATTTTGCAATTTTCGCTTTTGATTCCGCTTTCTCACTTTTCCTCTTTTTGGGGATCGAGGTTGACGTCCACTTTGCCAC